GTCTCCAATCACCTTCTCAGAAGGTACTTGGACCCTCCAAACCTACAGAACAGTGTCTCCAATCACCTTCTGAGAAGGTACTTGGATCCCTAGGGTCCGAGAACGTGTCACCATTGTGTCACCAATTCCTTCAATAACTGATGTGAACACGTTGGACCGTAACAGGGTACCAATAGAGATGGATACCCTGTAACAGGGTGGCCTCCTTTCTCACTTTGAGTCACAGACCAGCCTGTGATCACTTTAAAGAGTTCCACGATGCCAGAGACTTTGATGCCATCCCACATAGCACAAGTCGAGAGCAGCACAGATGTCGATGCTGTCTAAAGAGTCTAATGTGTTAAGTGATGTGGATGTGTTTTGGAACACATCATAACCCAGACAATGCCTGGGACTGACATATTCACCTACAAAAAAAAACTTCAAATTACTTTACTTCGAGTGATCCCCACCATGACATTTCAATCATTTGTCTTGATGCCATAGTGAGGAGCATGTTGCCATAGTCGTCAGTATTGTAGTTCTCGATGTTGCTTGTGGGTCCTCGGGTTGTGTGCTGTGTTGTGGTTGTGGTTGTGTTTGTGGTTGTGTGTTTGTGGTTGTGTGTTTGTGGTTGTGTTTGTGGTCGTGTGTTTGTGGTTGTGTGTTTGTGGTTGTGGTAGTGGTTGTGATTGTGTGTTTGTAGTTGTGGTTGTGGTTGCGGTTGTGTCTTTGTGATTGTGTGTTTGTAGGTGTGGTTGTGGTTGTGTCTTTGTGATTGTGTGTTTGTAGTTGTGTTTGCGGTTGTGTGTTTGTGGATGTGTTTGTGTTTGTGTTTGTGGTAGTGGTTGTGATTATGTGTTTGTAGTTGTGGTTGTGGTTGTGTCTTTGTGATTATGTGTTTGTAGTTGTGGTTGTGGTTGTGTCTTTGTGATTGTGTGTTTGTACTTGTGGTTGTGTGTTTGTGGTTGTGTTTGTGGATGTGTTTGTGGTTGTGTTTGTGGTTGTGTGTTTGTGGTTGTGTGTTTGTGTGTTTGTGGTTGTGTGTTTGTGGTTGTGTGTTTGTGGTTGTGTGTTTGTGTGTGTGTGTGTGTTTGTGGTTGTGTGTTGTGTGTATGTTTGTGGTTGTGTGTTTGTGATTGTGTCTTTGTAGTTGTGTTTGTAGTTGTGTGTTTGTGATTGTGTTTGTAGTTGCGTGTTTGTGATTGTACTTGTGATTGTGTTTGTGATTGTGTTTGTGATTGTGTGTTTGTGGTTGTGTGGTTGTGGTTGTGTGTTTGTGGTTTTGTGTTTGTGGCTATGTGTTTGTGATTGTGTCTTTGTAGTTGTGTTTGTAGTTGTGTGTTT